TCCCATTTAGCCATTATGAATTTTCCCAGCTCCTCATCGGATTTATACGCCTCGATGCAGGTCTTATGCAAATACCGTATTAGATTTAGTATGCGAAATGAGGCGATTTGCTAATTCCTCAACGTATGGTCACTATACAGCCCTAAAAATACTCACTAAACAGAATTGTAGGTTTGGAACATGTTTTTCTCGTTACCTTCTACGTATCAGTGTTCATTTTGACGTGTTTGTCCAGGCTTTCTCTGAAGTATTTTCGCTGGCATCCAGTGGGTTTCGATCCTTACACCTCTGCTCGTACTTCTGTCCCTAGCTTGTTACTCACGCCTAGTTTTCCAATCCCGTTTGACGGCGCTAACAAAGAACCTCTGGTCTAAGCTACTTATGAGACAACGCTTCTTTCACAGTACCCGTCCACTCACTGCCTTTTAGGATTTGGGATGACCTTCTAAAGGGCATTCTGTGGCTACGAAGCCTTCCAGTTGAACTCTCATTCCCTGCATGCGTGGATTGTTTAGCCATGAATAATCGCTTGCTGTTTTGTTTGTTTACCGTTGAGTTTATTCCAAAATAAACTCCTCCCTGTTTTGCAATAGCATACCTTTACTGCTGTAACTGAACATTTCCTCAAAAATTCCTTCAACAACCACCTCCCAATTGTGCACTGGATTAGCACTCTTCTCCCAATATTGGTGGTAATCATCGTGAAAACACCCAATTACTGGTTGATGCAAAGTTGAGTGAGTGCTTTGGGTGCGCTAAAGAGCGGTTTGACATGCAGCTGGCCCAGAGGGTTCACATTTACATGTATGGAAGGGGGGACCTCATTAATCACGGTCCTCTAACATCTATCGAAACCGACTTCGTTATTCATAAGCTCTTTCTATTCGGAATTCGATTTCGAGTATAACCAACATTACCCCACCCCTAAAGGCTACATCATTCCAAACAAATTGGTTCACCTTCCATTCCTTTGCTTCAGCTCACTTCAGGACCTCATCGTTTAGCCCTATAGAAGCCCCTAACTTGATAGCTCGTCCTCTGCATGAGATTCCAGTAAGCCTATTCCCTTTATTTATGAGCCCTGCGTTGAGGATTTTGTGCCATGCGGGATTTGTTTTGTGTTTGATAGAACCAACAGCATTACAGAACTGCGATCAAAACCTCGAACTTGGTAAAGCAAACAAAACACTTCACTTGATTGTAATAAACACAGTTTCAAAAAAAGCATATATTGAAATGCTGGATTTTCGCTCCGACGGCCTTTTTAGGTCATCTCCATCGGTTTATTTTAGATCAATTGCTATATGTCGCGGCTTTGATCTCTCTCTTCTACGCGACAATTCGTCTACACCATCCTGCGAGTGAGATTTGTCCTCCTCTATGTCGAAACCCTTTTTGAGTCGTTAGCAATTATTGCAATAGCAAGAACACGCTAGCCATCGTTTTTTACCCGGTTCCCTATGGTAGCGTTGAGGTAATTTTAGATGCGAGGAGAAGAGGATGATGCGTTTTCGAGAGCACTTTTCACATCCGATTTTGCGACACTAATTACACGGGTGCATCTTACAACAACCAGCTGCCTCATGTGCGCGGTCTTGATGCCCCTCTCATCCGCCTTTATGGCTCATATACGCTCATTGACACTGTCCGACCAGTCCAGTCACACTGGTCACATCGCAATTCTCCTCCTGGTCCCCTGGTCAGTACCGGTCGCTAGACCCGCTTCTCAGGAAGTCATTTCTGTTTAATGAGAGGAAATGAAGCAATTGTATTGTTGACGAGGGCTTATTAGCCGCCACTCCCCACTGCCTCCGGGCTTGTTTTGCGATGAGGACATTTTCACATAGAACACAGCAATTGGCCGAAATTTCATCTCCACAATGTTGTCTCCGTTTAGAAGCTTGACTAACTGTGTGAACAAAAAGTGCTTGTACGTTCGTGCCGTGTCGTCATTTAGTCGTTGAACGAAATCACCACACACTGCCGATGTACGTAATGGTCCCGTTGTAAAATGTGTTTATTAGTGATTCACGCACTGCTTTATTATGCAACGAACATATGTTCCGGGTGAGGGTGAGGGAAGAGAACCTCGGCCAGACGGCTGGAGTCACTCACTGGCGATGACTGAGCTATTGCGTCGAGCATAACTTGTAATAACCGCTACTCATTTTGTGATTGGGGTACCTCACCACACTGTTGGTCCAGTCCCGTCAGGAGGCCCTATTTGGCTTTGGGAGAATTGTCTTGCCATTGTTGATTTTTCCCGTTTCACTCGCCTTATATACATTTCATATCCCGAAAGTGGAGAGGGCGTGGCTGCCAGCTCCACTCGAATATGGCGCAGAAAGCCTTTTTCGTGAGGCATGTTCACTTGACACTGTCTTGACTCGTGCCGGGCAATGACATGGTTACAGTTGTCCCAAAACGAAGATCTTCTATCAAAAATGCACCCGCCGACTCATTAGTGGGATACATAGCCACGCCTTCCCCATTTCTGCGATAGAGTGTACCCTCTCTTTGGCGGACTGCCAGAACTACTCTCTTTTGGTTGATCGAAGTCTCCGTTTCCCCAGTAGTCTGCCGGCTGCTCTCCATCAACCTCCGCTAGACGGCAGACTTTTCGGAAATCTGGAAGGGTGTTAGGCAGGTTGTGAGAGGGGTTCGTACCGAGGTTTCGCTTTTGAGGAGGACGTCGTAGCTGACATCTCGTTTCCCCAACCCTGATGATGCATTATGGCGTGGAGGGCCTTTTATCCTGTACAGCCTTTTGACACTCTCTGTGAGTGGTAAGTGAAAGTGCTATGGATCCTTCCCTGAAAAATCAGCGCCCAGCGAACCGATAATACCTTCGTTACACATTAGATTGCATTCATTTTTTTCTCGTTCGCAACTCCACTTCCACAAATCGTACGATTATCGGCGGACAATTGCTGCGGTTAGGTAACCCCCATGAAGTGCAGAATTTCTCCTGATTCATGTTAACTTCCTTCTGACTATCTTTTCAGTCCGATGAGACGGACTACCTTGGCGTGACAGTTGTTTTCGCGTGTGATTCGTTGCTTTGTCCGACTTCCAATTAATCGTACTGACCGTTTATTTCGTTCGTTGTCAGGCAGGGCCCGCGCATTTGTCGTGCTAGTGGTCCGATCGCCCGTCCGGTACATGGGCCAACACCCTAGTCATTCATCTCGTCATTCACGAGTTTTGTGATTTCAAACCAGTTTCACACCTCACGCTCACCTCCTCCTCTTTGATACAGGTTAGAAACGGTGGTTGTTGCAGCTCCTGGCGTACTATAATAGTTCTCAGTGTTACCTATGTAGCCTGTGGTCACTACTTTTGTTGTGATCTACTGGTCGATACATTGTCATCGAATCTTTGGGTGGTCTAGTGGCATAGCTCCCTTCTCGTTTCTTTCTTCGTTTATCTGTATCGAAGCAGATTTTACCTTTCCACACCGCTAATAACCATGGAGGGGAGGGGGTGAAGGGGTCGTCTGAGAGGCTCCCGTCCATGCTGTTACCACCCTGGAGGTGGTGACTTCTGCAGAAGCCAACGTAGTCCGGAAAGACAATATTCTCTAGCTTTTCTCTTCTTGCAACCTCGGCATCTTAGTTGTAAGTCTTTCATTGTTCTGCGCCTTACGCACCTGCACTTGTAAGGTGCAGAACAAATGGAAAGGTAATATTTTCACCTGAATAACGTCTTTCGCTCGAGGAATCGTATGAGTGCCCCCTCCAAGGTTATTAACACCCGTATCACTTCTTCTTTCTTTTTTTTCTGATTACCGTTAGTGATAGTCATCGGGTGATTGTCTGCCAGTGTCATTGAACTCGTCAGTGCTATCAGTGTGATCAGAAGTGACGCTGAATGCCATAATTTCAACGCAGATCTTCGTTTTAACCGTTCGTTCTCCTCTTTTGCGATATTGTTGGTTCGATGGTGTTGTTTGTTGTGACTGATGTGCGAATAATCCCTTGATTGCTGTAGTCTGACCTCCGCTAGTGCGGTCTCTTTCTTTGGTTCTTTTTCCACCTCATATCCTTGTATGCCCAGTAAAAGGGCTAGCAAGTGCTAGTGAGCCAGGGCGTGAGAGTAGGGCACTGGGTACACTTTGAAGAAAATTGCTCGTGCTTACTGCGGTCAATGCCCAAAAACAAGCCGACTTAATGCGTTTATTCAGTTTGCGGCCAGCGTTGCGCACATTCTGATTCGATTTGGGCAAAAAGTCATGTCGACGAGGCACGCTGATAACCTCAAAATGTCCTCCCTCATCGTCCATGGTTTTTCTAGCTGGAGTTCGTGCTCATCAGCTCATTCTTCCCTGGGTTTACAGCCGTAGTCGTTCCTTTCGGGTGCACATCTGCATAAGGATTTGGCGTTGTTATGCGCGTGGAATCCTTTTTTTAACACCAAGCCCGGCTGAGAGATGATTTCCGGACATGATTCAATTTGCACCACTTGTGATGAATGTACTTCTTTCATCATACTAATACTTGTGAAGAAAGTAAAATCAACCGAGAAAAATCGCCGTTCCCGTCGAGGACTGCTGATGCAACAAGTAACCCAATAATTTTCAGAATCGGCACACATACACAAACACATGCGAGAACTTCTACTAATATTGTTACTAGTAATACCTATATTAACGTCTTTATCACCAGCGACAACGCCTATGCAAGGGCAATGTCAGGCGGTTTGTTTGAATGAGGTAAGTCTGGTAAAAGGGTTAGCGCTGTGGTGAGAATAGCGCGGTAGTGGACGCCTTTTAGCCTTCTGGCCACAACGTTTAACTGCCCACTGAGCACATTGTTTGATAATTTCTTCACCATCACATTACGTACACCAGATGTTAGCCAAACGGCCGCCATAGTGCGAGTTCGCCGAAAGTCCTAGCTGAGAGAGATAAGTATGAAGGCAAAAACTATGAGGGCGAAAATGTGGCGCTGAGATGGTGGTAATGGTCGTGGTCGCTGTAGTGGCAGCAGTAGCAGTATCAATTATACAACAGTTTTCAGTACGCTTCCACAAAGGAGTTCCTCGCACTAGATGGGAGTGGATACCGTGAAGCAGACGCAGTGAATAACAGCGATTTTGCATTGGTGAGTGATCACTGATCGATTTTTGCGATCTCCGCGTACGAGATAACAAATACTCTTGGTTGTAGTGCAAGTTAGGATGCGGATCACCGGGATTTACCGAATTGAAATTGGAACCGTTTAAACGAGGCCAAACGGTGTATCGTACGATCATCAATCAGCACGAAACGGGCGGTCAGTCGGCTTTGAACTCTACAATTTAACCCTGGACGTTATGCAATTACGAGGATTGGGCGAAAGGGAGTTTGAGTGATGTGTGATGGGACGAAATTTCAGGCTCGGCTACGATGGCATCGGCGTCGTCACCGATCCAAAGTGTGACGTTGTTGTGCGCTGATAGCGTTGAGAACAATGGCAGCGTATTTTGGCGAGTCGGACTTGATGTGAGGAATGACAGTGATGACGGTATGATAGCACATTGGATAGATGCCGTTCGAAGAACTAATGATGACACGTCCACTGATACGGTTGTATTTGGGACATGGGTGAGCTCTACTGATATTGAACTAACTTTTTTTGCCCATTTTAACGTTTACAGAAACGTTGTTGAGACTCAAAGGCAGTGGGCACGATGGTTAGAGGTGGGGCGGCCACTGCCAACGCCATTGGTGGAAGGGCTGAGTGAGATGTGGTCAGACGCCTTTTTGCAGCTCTTCCACCAATGACGCTGACAGTAACCGCCCCCCCCCCAGCCATGGTGCACTGCTTTTGAAAAAAAAAGATATAATTTCCGGCTCGGTTCAATAGCTTTTAACACGGCCCACGCATCCTACTTCCATTCAATATCATCGTGGATTTTGAGAGCGATCTGGCCCATGCAATGGGTTTCAGGAGTAACTGAAATGCAATTTGGTGCCCTTATCCTCACATTATCACAGGCAAGCGTGGTACCAATTTACCCGCTCGAAAAGATGCGAGTTACGGTTGTGGCCAGCGGGAATCGATCAGGGACCCTTAGAGCGCGCCACTTGCCGCTACACTTCCACCTTCCTTGTTGAGAACCCTACAATTGCTTCAATATTTAAATATTTGCATTCATGTATAGTTATGAGCGCTGAGGGGCTGCGAAGTCCCTCAAATTATGAATCACTTACGCACTATTTCAAAGAAACGAGTCTATGAGATCACCTGAGATTTTACAAAACTCGGTCCACAAAAACTCAGATAGCACCTTGTGCCGGATCATTCCGGCTTCACTGAGATATTGGACTTCCACCTAAAGCCATGCCTCCATCTTAATTCACTGGCATAGAGTTCATTAAAAACCCTTTTTTCCCTCTCGAGTGCTGCATGATTTCATCGAGGATTTGGCAGTTCACTTGGAAAGCAAATATAAATTTCTGGACGACACATGCGCTATTTTTGAGTACTTGAAAATTAGCTATTTTAACCCTGGTTTGAGGTGTACATGACGGTGAACCCTAAGGAAGAGCATGCCTTTTAGAGTTTTAGATTAGTGCAGGTTTAACACGTTGACGACCGCGCGGGTTTTTACTTTTTTGGCCTCGTGGGACACGCGCGCCTTCTCGAACGCCACGAGCGCGGTACGCATACAATTCACGCGGTCCCACGAGGCATTTTTTTGGAGAGTGGATCAGAAAACCTGGTTTAGAGAGCAATTATGAAGTAAGTCAATCAGTCACTATGGAAAAAAATTAGGCTGGCCAACAGTCGTTGCACCAGGTGCTAGAAATTTTTCTGTATTCGATGTTTTCATAAAAACACACGTCGTGCCCACTATAGGATTCAGGATCTTTCATCTCATTTACTTTTTTTTANCTAATATCAGTATTGTATATGTA